TTAAATGTTTGTCTCCCTCACTAGACTGTCGGTCTCTCCAGGGCCAAAACCATGTCTGTCTTATTTATCCGGCCCATGGTAGGTCCTCCATAATTACTTGTTGAGCACATGAATGAATGAATTTCCTATAGGACTGGCGTGGGCCTCAGTTTCCCCATATGAGAGGGTGTGGCCAGCTGAGCCCTTTATCCCAGGGAAGCCATCAGTGTTCCAGGGAGGACATTGTCCCTGGCCTTGGCAGGGTGCTTGGAGCTGCTCTGGGCCGCTTTTCTGTCTCGTGGTGCCCAGGCGAGGCGCCCTCAGGGGAACCTGCGCAGGGTGTGTCTCGGGGTTGGGAGCACCTCCTTGGCGCACCTGCTGGCTTCTTGCTGAGCCAGAACTAGCAGGTGGCAGCAGGAGCAGGTTGGAAACGCCCCTGGGAAATGAGAAAGTGTTTCCTGGAGGCCTGTGCCACTTGGCTTCCTGGCGGAGGAAGGAGCATTTCCCTCATCCTGGCCCAGGCTCCGGTCCATCTGCTCCGGGAAGGGCTTGTGGCTCACGCAGAGCTGCCCTGTGAGGGGATGATGGGGCGGGGAGGGCTCAGGGGCTGGCCTCCGCTTGGATTTCATGGGGAAGGACCCAGGGCCCGGGGAGGAGGCACAGGGGTGAGGACTCTTGGCATCTGTCAGACACAAGCAGCTTTGCAGAAGGTCCTCTGACTCTGGGCCCCCTGGAATCAGATGCTTCTCTGTCCTTCCCTCACAGAGGGCCTGTCCTGTGGATTAAATGATCGGGCAGAGCAGTTAGCTCTTTGCTTATTGCCTGACGAGTGCTCAGTTGGATGTTAGCTGTTGCTGTTTTTATGCTAAGCTATTATCTTTTTGTATGATTTTATTCTCCTGGGGAGAGTGTTGGTAGCTTTCATCATATTCTTATAGGGTCTGTGACCCCAAAACCATTCAGAGCACTGGCCTAGACTCTGTAGCGGTCAGCAAGGGAAGAAGGCGTCTCGTCTGGACCCATCTGCCAGCGCCTGAGGCACTGAGGTCTGTGTCCCAGGGACCCCTCACTCCTGGGCCCTGGGCAGCCAGCCCTGCCAGCCCTGCCAGCCCCACCAGCCCAGGCCTATCTCCTCTCCTGCCTCCTCCAGACCTCAAAGGCTGAGTGGGAGGCCCGGGCCAGACGCCAGCCTGCCAAGGAGACTGATTAAAAGCGGCCTTGCTGAGGCTGGATGGCTTGGTGTCCTTGGCCAGGAGGAGCGATCGCTAAGCAATTGTTTTATTGTTGGCAAGAAAAAAATTCTTCACTGACTTTCCCAGGTACCACCAGGCCTCAGTTTCTTTTCAGGAACCCTCGTAGCCCTGAACGAGGTGGGTCTGGGAGGGAGGCAGGCCTCACAGCCCTGGCTATGGACCACACACAAGAGCAGGCTGGCTGGCTTGGCCATCAGTTCCTGTAGGACCATTCTGGAACACAGGCTACCTACCACAGCAGGTAGTAGGCATTCCACAGGTTTTGTTGAAATAATATTGTTTGAGCATTTAACTGTGTGTGCCAGACGTGATTCTGAGTGCTTGGCTCATGTAATCCTTGTGACTGTTGGGTGGGCACCCATTTTATAGGTGAGAAAACTGAGGCTTAGGCACTCATCCATGGTAGGCAGGGATAAGATGAGCCCAAGCTATCTAACTTCAGAGGTGCTGTTTTTTCTCTTCCGGGAGATAAGGATCATAAAAAGGACATGTAAAGCAGTAGCGGCTCAGGCCACGGAGAATGTTGAACTTGGGTTGTATTCTTTTATTGATAGGGAAGCCAAGACAGGGACACAAATGATTTCTTTTCCAGATATAGTAAGGAGCAGGATAGAGGAATAGGAGACAAACCAACCCAACTGTTCTCTCCTCTGGCCTCTTGCCCCATGTGATCCCACAGTATCATACAGCCTTATCATCCTAACCCTAATCATGGTTATAGTTAATTCTTTTCCTTTAAAAATTCATTTTTGAAGAGTTATTGTATGCACATGGGGCAGAAATAAAAGTGAATATAATGAAAAGTCTCTTCCAGTTTGGCCCCCACATTTGCAAACCAGTTATCTTCCCATGATACCACTGCTACCATTTTCTTGTGTGTCTTCTCAGAAATATGCAATGCACGTGCAGTCACCTATGCACGTATGGCCTTTGACCCTAAGCCAGCAGCAGCATGCCAGTGCGTTGTTTTTTTCCATGTAACAGTGTGCCTTCGAGCTAGTTCATATTAGGAGGTATAGAGCCACCGCTTTTAAACTAAACATGTGGTCTTCTTCTGGGATAGCTGTACCTTATTTTATTTATTCATTTCCCTGGTGGAAGGTCATTTCAAACCATACTGCCAAAATAATCTTGTACATACATTGTTTTCTACATGTGTGAGGTTGTCCAGAGGGTAAATACTCAGGTGTGGGATTGCTAAGGCAAAGGTACGTGCATTTAGGATTTTGTCAGACAGTGCTGCATTTCCCTCCATGAGGATGGTGCCATTTCATAATTCCCACTTTCCCAGAGCCTCGACAAAATATGCTATTATTAAATTTTGTGTTTGCTAATCTGACAGATGAAAAAAATGGTATTTCATTATAGTTTTATTAATATTTTCTTAATTTTGGTAAAATATATATGAAATTTGCCATTTCAACCATTTTTAGGTGCCCAGTTCAGTGGCATTAAGTACATTCACAATGTCGTGCAACCACCTCTGCCTAGTTCCAAAACATTTTCATTATCCCAAAGGGAAACTCCATACCCCTTAAACAATAAACTCCCCATTTCCTTCCCCTTCTGCACCTGGTAACCCCTATTCTATGTTTTATCACTCTCTGAATTTGACTACTGTAGGTACCTCATATAAGTGGAATCATACAATATTTATATTTTAGTATCTGACTTGTCTCACTTAGCATAATGTCTTCAAGATGCGTTCATGTCGTAGCATGAGTCGGAATTTCCTTCCTTTCTATGGCTGTACAACATTTCGCTTATCTGTTCACCTGTTGATGGACACTTGGGTTGTTTCTACCTTTTGGCTATTGCGAATAATATTGCTTTGAACATGGTGTACAAGTATCTGTTGGAATCCTTGCTTTCCATTCTTCTGGGCATACCTAGGAGAGGAATTGCTAGTTACTTGGCAATTCAATGTTTAACTTTTTGAGTAATCACCATCCTGTTTCATTGTAGTTTGGATTTGCACTTCTCTTCCCATAAGTGATGCTGTGCATCTTGTCACACGAATGGATTCTTTGTTGTTCTTTTAACCATAAACTCTGTGTCCCTAAATGAGGGCTGTGTCAGGGCTGAGATGTCATGGTTGCTTCCGTAGTGCCTTTCCCATTGGACTTTCTCTGCCACGTTGCCCAGTGTAGTAGATGTTCTGTCGGTACTTCTGGAAGGACTGTTCCAGGAAGGCTGAGTGGCTTTCTCTGCCTCTTAGCTGGGTCGTCAGGGAGCTCTGCCTCTCCGCTGCTGTCTGCACCTTCCTCTCTATCTCCCCGTACCACCCAGTGCCATCAGGAGATGCCATTTTATTCATTCATAAAATCCCTGCTGAGCACCTGCTGTTTTTCTGGATCCAGAGAGGCCTTTTGTGTTGTGGGTGATTGACACAAGTGGCCACTATCCACAGATGGACATCTGTGGATGTACTCAGTGAATTCCAGCAGCACCTGTGACATTTGTCCAGTGAAATTTGTCAAACATGTGAACCAAAGGTTAATATTCTGTGCCAGAGACGGAGAGAATTGACAGCCTAAAGGAATGTGTCAATCTTTTTTTTTTTTTAATTGAGATAAAGGCTGGGTGTGGTGGCTCACAGCTGTCATCCAAGCTGGAGGCTGAGGCAGGAGGATCACTTGTAGCCAGGAGTTCAAGGCCAGCCTGGACAACATGGCAAGATTCCATCTCTGCAAATAAAAAAAAATTTTTTTAATTGAGATAAAAGTTCACGTAACATAAATTTGACCATAGTTCACTGGCATTTAGTGTATTATGATGTGCAACCATCAGTGTATTATAATGTGTATATATAGTGTATTATAATGTGCAACCAGTATAATGTGCAACCATCACCTTAAAACATTTTCATCACCCCAAAAGGGTACCCCATACCCATTGAGCAGTCACTCCTCATCCCCTTCACCATACCTCCTGGTCCCGGACAACCACTAATCTACTTTCTGTCTCTATGGATTTGCCTATTCTAGAAATTTCATGTAAATCAAATCATACATCTGTGACCTCTTGTGACTGACTGCTTTTACTTAGCGTAATATTGTCAAGGTTCATCCACATTGTAGAATGTGTCAGTCCTTCATTCCTTTTTATGGCTGAATAATTTTCCATTGTGTGGATAGACCACGTTTTGTTGATGCCTTCATCTGTTGGTGGACACATACGTTGTTTCTTCCTTGTAGCTGTCATGTATAGTGCTGTCTGGGTACATACCATGAGATGGAATTCCTGGTCATATGGTCATTCTATAACTTTTTGAGGAACCACCAAGCTATTTGATGTTGACCTTTTAAAATGCATGTTTTACCTGCTGTCTGGCAGGCACCGTACCAGCCGGGGAGACGCAGCTAGGGGCTGCACTTCCTGTAGCTCTGTGGCGCCTGGCTCTTCGGACAGCACCGGCTCCCCCTGGCTCACACGCTCTCAGTGGCTGTTGAAGGAAGCTCTGATGAGACCTCAGCCCTACTCCTCACTTGAGAACGATTGGCTGGAGCCCAGGCCCAGAGACCAGACTGCAAAGCTGCATTAGGGCCGTGATCCCCAGCCCCCAGGCCTGTTAGGAACCAGGCTGCACAGCAGACTGTGCTTTTCTATGTAGACTCAGAGATCAGGGTCACATCATGTTTTGCAATATTTTTTTGGGATGTCAACCTGAGGCAGGGAGTAGACGCCAGCCTGGACTGGGAGGAGAGAGGCTCTGTCCCTGTCCTTGCCCACAGGGTTGGGGCCGGCTGACCCTTCCTCTCTCTGCAGGTGGCTCCGCTGCCAGATGGGAGCGCCCGGGTGTGTTGGATGAAGCCGGCGCATGCACCATGTCATCATGTGTCTCTAGCCAGCCCAGCAGCGACCGGGCCACCCCCCAGGATGAGCTGGGGGGCAGGGGCAGCAGCAGCGAAGGCCAGAAGCCCTGTGAGGCCCTGCAGGGCCTCTCGTCCCTGAGCATCCGCTTGGGCATGGAGTCCTTCATCGTGGTCACTGAGTGTGAGCCGGGCTGTGCTGTGGACCTCGGCCTGGCCCGGGACCGGCCCCTGGACGCTGATGGCCCACAGGTCTCCCTCGATGCCTCCAGGTCCCAGGCCCGGCCCCACCTCTGCGGTCGCAAGCTCTCCCTGCAGGAGCGGTCCCAGAGCGGGCTGGTGGCCGGCGGCAGCGTGGACATGAATGGACGCTGCATCCACCCATCCCTGCCTCACTCGCCCGTGGGCTCCCCGCAGTCCTCGCCGCGGCTGCCCCGGCGGCCCACGGTGGAGTCTCACCACGTGTCCATCACGGGTATGCAGGTGCGTGAACTGGCGGTGAGCTGGGTCCCAGGGGTCTCTGGTGCCCTTCCCTGCCCCCAGGAGGGTCTCTGTGGTAGGCTGGGCTCCCCCAGGAGGATTTGAGTTGACCTGGGAGGTGACCCCAGGAAGCTCTGGCTGGGGGGAGGATTGTGGGAAGTGAGTCAGCACAGGGAGGGGAAGGGGGTCAGCGCAGGGTGGGTGGTGGAGTTAGTTACAGTATGGACACTGGGGGTTCCGTCCTTCTGGGGTCCTGGGGGCAGCGTACAGCACCAGCCTCAGAGTGTCCTCCACCAGGGGGGCGGAAGTTGGGTGCCTGTGCTTCTGTCACCCATTGGTGAGGTGACCTGCCATGAGCGTGGACAGAGCAACTCCAGGGCCAGAGAGCCTCCTGCAAAGAGATTTAGGAGCTGACGGTTGGCAGGTGTGCTGGCACACGGTGGCTCACTGAGAGCCCGCATGGCCTGACAGCCGTGGTCCCTGCTGCTGGGTATTTGTCCACGTCAGGCCCTGGGTTCAAGTACTTTGTGATCCTCACTATAAACTCTGGGAGGTGATTAGAACTCACATCCCCAGCAGGGTTCATGAGGCCATTCCCTGCCATTCTGCTACTGGTGCACAGGACTCCACCTGTTACTGCCACATGTCCCTCAGATACCCAGGCCCTTTCCCACCTCCAGTTCTTGGCTCTTCCTTCTAGTTGGAACCACCCTTTCCCCTGCCAACTTCACATGACCGTCTCTATCTGATGACCGATTCTCAACTCAAATATCACCTCCTCCAATAGGCCTCCTGGACCACCCTCCCTAGAGCAGCTGCCAGCCTCTCTCTACCTAGTGGCCCTCTTTATGGTCCTTCGTAATACTCGTCGGCATCTGATCATCTTGGGTGTTTGTTCAGTTGTTTGTTGCCTGTCTCCCCCCAGCTGGAACGTAAGCTCCATGGGAACAGTCTCATCCACCACTGCGTCCCCAGCACCGAGCCCTGTGCCTGGCTCATAGTAGGAACATGAAAATATTTGTTAAAGGAATGAATGAATGTAATTGAAATTCATTTCAATGAATTGAATGAAATCAGAATGGCTTTCTAAAGTGGCTGATTTTGAAGGCGGCTGTATACCTATAGGGGCTACGTTTTGAAGGCTAGGAGATAGCACACAGAGAGTTCAGTGCAAGGAGGGTGCACAGCATGAGCAGAGGCCCAGAGGTAGAAGCCATGGGGTGAGGGGCATGATGGCCAGGGGTTCACTTAGCTGGAGTGTGGGGGCCCATAAGGAGGGCACTGTGGTGAAAGGGCTGGAGGGATAATCTGGTTTATGTCAGTTAGAATTGAGCTCAGCTTAGAGAAACAAATCCCCCGCCCCGCCCCCAACACTGGCTTTAACACAATAGGGCTTATTTATCTTGCAAAATAAATCTGGATCTAGATGTTCCAGGACTGGAGTGGTGGTTCTGTAGTCTCAGTATGGCTGCTGAGTCTTGAGCCTTCACAGCTCCATTCCAGGCAGGCAGGAGGAGCAGAGGAGAAGGGCAAAAATCGTCTGCCTCCTAAGGCAGTCCTCTTTCCTGGAAGCTCTACTTAGCAATGTCTGCCTGCCTTCCATGGCCAGAACACAACCACATGGCCACCCCTAGCTGCAAGAGAGTTGCCTAGTTGGCACTCAAAGTTCCATTTATCAAGTAGAAAGGGGAGACTGGGATTTGGTAGGCAACTCTGCCAAGATCAGAGCTTTGGAGGGCCTTGAAGGCCAGGTTGTGGGGTCAGGACTCGAGCCTGGGAGCAGCAGGGAGCTGGGCTGACGTGGCCAGAGCAGACTCTTGAAAGATGGATTTAGCAGTGTGTGGAGGTTGGACTAGGAGGCAGTGAGACCCCTGAGTGTAGCTCCCCAGGGATCCCCTCTGCCTGTCACATCCTTCTAGGACTCCAGGGGATGAAGCATCACAGGAGAGAACTGGAAACAACCTAAGTGTCCACTGGTGCGGGGAGGGCTCCACGAGCTTTGGAGGGCTTTGTGGCAGGTCAGAAGATGCAGGTCTATGCAAGCGTTGTGACATGGAGCCACCTCCAGGGACGTTGTTGAGTGAGAAAAGGAAGTTGAGAGATGGTTTAGTGTGACACTATTTATGCCTCCCCGAGCAATACTCTATTTTCTGCAGGCATATATTACCAAAAAAAAAGGCCTGGAAGTTAAGGTTCTGGGAGACAGTTAGAATTGAGGAGTGGAGAGTCAGGGGAAACATACAGTTTATCTGTTAACACTTGAAGTTTTCTTTCTTATCATGTTTCTTTTCCCAATTTTACTTCTCATATCACTTAACATTTTCCCCCTACCTATGTGGAGGTGCAACTGAAGTTAAAAAGAGAAACAGCTGCACATATTTCAAGTGTACAATATGAGTAGCTTTGATATATGTCTCCACCCGCAAAATCATCACCACAACCAAGACAACAGACATTTCCAACACACCCGGCAATCCCTTCTCCCCTCCTGCCCCTTTCCTAGGTAACCACTGACCTGCTTTTTAAAAACTATTATAGATTAGTTTGCAAGCTCTAGAATTTTATATAAATGGGATCATTTAGTATGCACTCTTTTTAAACGTAGCTTCTTTCACAGCCTAATGATTTTGAGATTTATCCATGTTATTGCATATTTCAGTAGTTTGTTCCTTTTACTGCTAAATAGTATTCCATTGTATGTAAATATGCTAAATAGTATTCCATTCCCCTGTTGGTAGACATTTGGGTTGTTTCCAGTTTTTGACTTTTACAAATAAAGCTGTCATGAAATTTGTATACAAGTCTTCGTAAACACATTTTCATTTCTCATGGATAAACACCTTGGAGTAGAATGGCTGGGTACAGTAGGTGTCTGTTAAGAAACTGCTGAATTGTTTTCCAATGATGTTGCATCATTTTCCATTTTATATTCCCACCAGCAGTGTTTAAAAGTTTCATTTGCTCTATATTTTTGCAAGTGCTTGGTCTAGTCAGTCATCCTGATTTAGTCAACCTAGCAGGTGTGGTTTTAGTTCATGTTTTCCTGTTGACCAGTGTTGTTGAGCATCTTTTCTTGTGTTCATTGTCCACTTGTATATCTTCTTTGGAAAAATTTCTGTTCAGATCTTTAGTCCAGTTTCTAATTGGGTTGCTGGTCTCCTTACTACTTAGTCATGAGAGTTCTTTATGTATTCTGGATACCAGTCCTTTGTCCATTAGATGTGTGGTGAATCTGCAGTCTGGGGCTTGCTTTTTCATTTTCTTCATAGTGTCTTGAAGAGCAAAAAATTTTTTTTGTTGAAGAGCAAAAGTTTTAATTTTGCTGAAGTCCATTTTATCATTTGTTCCCCTTTGTGTTTGTGCTTTTTGTGTATTATCTAAGAAACCTACCCCAAAGTTGCACAGATTTTCTCCTCTTGTATTACTTTGTTTTTTCAGGACAGTGTAGTCATGGACTACTTGTTTGATTTAAAATTTACTAATTTTTTTAAGGGGAAACAACCTTTTAAGATGGGTCTTATAAGCGTATATATTGAATGAGTACATTTTGACAAAGTATATGAACAAGCGAAGTCTATGCTCCCAGAAGTCAGGCTAGAGCTGGGCTTGTTGGTGCGCACCTGTGGTCCCAGCTGCTCTGGAGGCTGAGGCAGGAGGATCTCTTGAGGCCAGGAGTTCAAGACAAGCTTGGGCAACATAGTAAGACCCTATCTCTTGGGGAAAAAAAAAATGCCAGGATAGAGGTCATCCTGGGAAGGAGGCGGTGGCTGGGAGGTGTTTCTGGGGAGCTGGGGGTGTTCTCTTTCTTCATTTGGGTCCTGGTTACGTGTGTGTTTGTGTGTAGTTTGTGAGAAATTTATCATCGTTTTCCATGTGTCTCTACTTATTTCTAGGACTGTGTGCAGCTGAATCAGTATACGCTGAAGGATGAAATTGGAAAGGTAAATATCCTGGGAGCCAGGCTGGTGCCACATTCACCAGGGATGTTTCAGATACTATGGAGGGAACCTGGCATTGCCGCGAGTAGGAGAGAAGAGTCTTGGGAGGTGATATTTGTGGGGAGGGTTTTGTCATTAATGATCTGGGTTTTTTTTTAATTTTTTTGTTTCTTTTTTTGTATCTAAAAATTAAATGTATTTCTGCAAAAGCTCAGAGAGCTTCTAGAGAAATCCCATATCACCATGGTGACAGTTACATCCCCATCACATTAGTGGAGTTTTTCCCCAAAGATGTACTCTCACATCACTTTTTGCTTTTGTTATAGCCAATGGGCGATATCATTACAATGGTCAAAACCTCATATGCCAATAGAAAACAATGGAGTGATATAAATGAGTGAGGCGTGCTAGGTGTAAAGTAGTAGGGAATGGTGAGGATTGTGGCAAACTGTTCACATGTGGAAATGAATGTTACATATGGCTAGATCATCAAATTGTTTCAAAAGAAACAGGGAATCTGGATTTTTATATCAGATCTTTGTATTTTTAAATGTTGGCAACTAATCCAAACTTTGGAAAAACTGCAGGTCCAATAAAATACAGTCACAGGGCAGATTTGAACAATGGGCTTCCAGTTCACAACCTCTGTATTAGGGTCCTGATTTTGTAGATCACTTTGTAGATAATTTGTGGATAGTATTTCATGGGCATCTCCCTTTATCCAGGGCTCTTATGGCGTGGTCAAGTTGGCCTACAATGAAAATGACAACACCTACTATGTGAGTATCCACATTCTCCTCCCCGCCCTTGTCATTATCTAAAGAAAAGCCTCCTTTCCAGCACTCAGCTTTCTAGAAGGTTTTCATAGCTGTTTTCTCGTTTTATTCTTAGGTTGTGTTCATTTTGTGTATTAGGTAGGATGTGGTGTACCCATTTTCAGGTGGGGAGGTGAAGTGATTGGCCCAGGGAGAGTTATTCATTCAGCAAATGTCTCTTACTCCCTTCCTCTGAGCCGCCATTTCTGCATTCTCCGTAGTACTGAGAACAAGGCAGCAGCTAGACAGATTGTAGCTGAGGCTTTGGAATCAGTCCAGTGTGGGTTCAAATCCTGGCTCTACCATGTGCCAACTATGTGACTGTGACAAGTGACATTTCCCCATGAGTAAGACAGCCAAGCCTCAGTTTCCCCATGTGTAAAATAGCCAGTCATACCCCTCCTTCACCCATCACTCTAGTTAACTTGTGTTTTGACTTGGTGACAGTGAGTCTCAAGGCTTGTGGCTTCCCAGCTGGGTAGAGTTGACCGAGAAGCTGAGAAGCACCCTCAGGCTGGGGGGACTCTGGGAGTCCGGCTTGCACACAATGCAGTAGCTGCCTGCAGTGCTTGCTGGGGTCACTACATTGCCCCAAGGCCCAGGAGCTTGGGCAGGCCTTGGAGTGGAGGGAACCTACCCTTTGCCATCTTTCCTTCTTCCTTCTCCCTGCTTTAACCAGGACATGGGATCTTTTCTCTTGCAGGCGATGAAGGTACTGTCCAAAAAGAAGCTGATCCGACAGGCTGGCTTTCCACGTGAGTTTTTTGGGCTTTTGTTCTTAGGTGCAGGGGCCCACCCAGCAGTCTCCCCTGTAGAGCACCCTGGATGGGCACCCCATCACACTTAGGGCTTACCCCCGAAGATAGCACTGAGCCTCCTGCTAAAGTTATTTATTCATTTTCATTTAAAAATATTATTAAAGTAATATAGGTATCAAGTCAAAAAATCGAACAGAAGAAAACAGTCTGGCAGTTACTGAAAAAGTTAAACATGGGGTTTCCACATGACTTAGCAATTTCACTTCTAGGTATATACCCAAGAGAACTGAAAGCACACGTTCACACAAAAGCTTGTACATGAAAGTTCATAGCAACACTATTCACGATAACCACAAAAGTGGAAACAACCTAAATGTCCATTATCAGATGAATGAATAAACAAAATGCATGTGCATCTAATGGAATACTATTGAGCCATAAAAAGGAATGAAATACTGATTCATGCTCCAACATAGATGAATCTTGAAAATATTGTGCTAAGTGAAAGAAGTCAGACAGAGAACATCACATATTATGTGATTCCATTTATAGGAAATACCCAGAATAGGCCACCAATCCATAGAGATGGAAAGTAGATCAGTGGTTGCCAGGGGCTGGGGGAGGGGAAATGGGTGGTGACTGCTGTCAGGTATGGGGCTTTGGGGAGGAAGGGTCAATAAAATATTCTGGAATTAGGTACTGGTGGTGTTGCACAACCTTGATACATACCACCGAGAACACTGAAATATACATTTTAAAATGGTGAATTAAAAAAATTTAAATACCATAAGGTATTTGAATTATATCTACCAAAAAAAAAAAAAGCCAAAGAACAGGAGGGCATGTGATGGAGAACGGCAGCTTCTGTTCTAGTCTTCCCTTTTCCCTACAGGCAGCCCTCATTTTCGGCTCTTTTAGTTGCTGGTAATTACTGTGTGTGGTCAGATGACAGACCTGCAGGTGAGCATATCAGAGGCTGCTCCAACATAAGCTCCTTGCCAGCAGTGCTGGGCATAGCATCAGCTTGGGCCAAAAAGAGGAATTAGATGAGAAAAAACAACCCCCCTCCTAACACTAGGACCCTGGTTTATCCTGCCTATGTGACTCTGAGCTAGATAATGTCCTTACATCTTGTGTTGCTGTTTATTGATTTACCATAATTTTTTTTTTTTTTTGAGACTGGGTCTTACTCTGTCTCCCAGCCTGGAGTGCAATGACCTGATCATAGCTCACTGCAACCTCAAACTCCTGGGCTCAAGCAATCTTCCTGCCTCAGCCTCCCGAGTAGCTGGGACTACAGGCACGAGGCATCACACCTGGCTGGTTTTTCTATTTTTTTGTAGGGATAAGGTCTCCCTATGTTGCTCAGGCTAGTCTTGAACTCTTTGCCTCAAACTATGCTCCTGCCTTGGCCTCCAAAAGTGCTGGGATTATAGGCGTGAACCACCATGCCCAGCCTAATTTATCAATTTTGACATCTGCTTCTGACTGGCTCCAGTGACAGTTGAGAATTTCGCTTGCTTAAACTACTCCTTACTTCCTATCTTAACAAAATAACAAGTGGTGTGCTTTAAGGAAACAACCACAGACGAGGCGGCTTCATTTGTCACAGTTCTGGAGGCTGGGTCATAGCCCCTCACAACATCCACCGTGAGGGGGTGCAAATATTCTGACCCTAGCACCTTCCTTTCCCTAACCAGGCAATAAAATGATACCATGATGTTTTTAGCTCCTCTGTCATTACACATCTGTGACTCCCTCCTTGTTCTGGCTGGTGTAGCGAGTGTCTCCCACCTCCTCACTTTGTTACATGTGTCTGTGAGCACCCTCCCCTCTCCTTTGAACATCCCACTTCTGACACCTGCACTGTCACCTTTCCTTTTCCAAAGCTGATCACATCTACATTCCATTCTGTTAATCACACTTAGAGCCCTTACATAGAATATGTGACATCATACGTGTTTTGACTGTCATCCTCTCCAACCTTGTGACTTTTTCGCTGTCATTCACTGCCGGGCCAAGCAGTGACCTGAGTTCCTCTCCTTTCTAGCATAGTCTTTTGTTTTTCTCTCACTGACACTTGCTTCTTTTCCTTTCCCTGGCTTCATTTTACATCTGTGCTGTTTCCATGAGTTAAGGAGATGAGGGATAATGTTTATGGCCATTTAATGGAGTAGACAAACTGAACCCTAGAGAGGGGAAGTGACTAGCCCTGGGATGTTGAGATTGCTGAGCTAGACCCCAGTTACCTCAGCTACTCCTGCCTCTCGCCGCAGACTGGGGCACGTGGCAGGATGGAGGCGATTAACAGAAATGCTGCAAAGGGGGTCAGAGCTCTGACCTCGCTGATTTCTAGCAGCAGAGGAGACAGAGGAAGAGAAGGTGGTTATAGCCCCTGGTGGCATCAGCCACTCTAGTTCTGCTGAGACCCTCCCCCTTTGGTTATCCCACCTACAGCTGTCCTCTGCAGAGGAGTGTCTCTTTGCCCTGACCGTGGATCCATCTGTGTCTCCTCCAGGTCGCCCCCCGCCCCGAGGCACCCGGCCAGCCCCTGGGGGCTGCATCCAGCCCAGGGGCCCCATTGAGCAGGTGTACCAGGAAATTGCCATTCTTAAGAAGCTGGACCACCCCAACGTGGTGAAGCTGGTAGAGGTGAGGGTGGGAGGATGAGGGTGGGAGGACATGGGGGAGGGAGGGAGGTATGCTCAATCCAGCCCCAGCTTTGTTAATTCCCAAACACCGCACTGCTGGCTTCCAGGGAGAGCCAGGTCGCACTAGACAGGTCACTGCAAGGCTGAGTAGTATTTCTATTTTACAGACAAATTGAGGCTTAAAGGGATAGTGAGTCTTTATCCCATTTTGGTCTCTTTTTTTTTTTTTTTTGAGATAGGTTCTCGCTCTGTCATCCAGGCTAGAGTGCAGTGGTATCATCATAGCTCATTGCAACCTCAAACTCCTGGGCTCAAGCAATCCTGCCTCAATCTCCCCAGTAGCTGGGACTATAGGCACATGCCACCCTGCTGGCTAATTTTTTAAAATATTTTTTTGTAGAGATAGCATCTTAGTATGTTGCCCAGGCTGGTCTTGAACTCCTGGCCTGAAGTGATCCTCCTGCCTTGGCCTCCCAAAGTGCTAGGACTACAGGCATGAACCTCTGTGCTTGGCCCATTTCTGTCTCTTTGAAGCTGGTTCTCTTTCTATTATACCACACCTACAGGTAGTTGTAGTGTAATAGCAACCATACACATTATGTAAACAAATGGGCGTGGTCATGTTCCAATAAAACTTTATTTATAAAAACAAGCATAGGACTGGGTTTGGCTCACAGGCTATAGTTTGCCAATACCTACTCTAGATTAGCAGTTCTCGGCCAGGTGAGGTGGCTCATGCCTGTAATCCTAGCATTCTGGGAGGCCGAGGAGGCGGGTGGATTGGTCGAGGTCAGGAGTTCGAAACCAGCCTGAACAAGAGTAAGACCCTGTCTCTACTATAAATAGAAAGAAATTAATTGGCCAACTAATATATATAGAAAAAATTAGGCTGGGCGTGGTGGCTCATACCTGTAATCCTAGCACTCTGGGAGGCCGAGGCGGGCAGATTGCTTGAGGTCAGGAGTTCGAAAACAGCCTGAGCAAGAGTGAGACCCCGTCTCTACTATAAATAGAAAGAAATTAATTGGCCAACTAATATATATATATATAGAAAAAATTAGCCGGGCATGGTGGTGCATGCCTGTAGTCCCAGCTACTTGGGAGGCTGAAGCAGTAGGATTGCTTGAGACCAGGAGTTTGAGGTTGCTGTGAGCTAGGCTGACGCCATGGCACTCACTCTAGCCTGGGCAACAAAGCGAGACTCTGCCAAAAAAAAAAGATCAGCAGTTCTCATACTTTTCAGTCTCTGGACCCCTTTATTCTCCTAAAATTATTTGAAGACATCAAAGCACTTTTGGTTATATGAGTTATGTTTATTAATGTTTACAACATTGGAATTGAAAACTAAGAACTTTTAAAACTATTATTTCATTTTAAAACAACAAAAGGGTTATTACATGTTAACATAAGAACTATTTTTATGATGAATAACTTTTTCTGAACATAGAAGAGTGGCATGGTTTTCCATTCTTGTGTATATTTTTTGGTTAATGTTTGGCTTAGTAGGAGACATCTGGATTCTCATATCTGCTTCTGCATTCAACCTGTTATGATATCACAAGCGTTGTGGTTTCTGGAAAACCCCTGTATACTAGTAGAAAATGTGAGTGAAAAGGACAAATATTGTCTTGATTTTAAAGTGAAAATAGTTTTAACCATGTAAACTCTTGAAAAGCATCTTGGGGATCCCCAGAAATCCCCAGGTCATGTTTAGAGCACCTCAGGTCTAGATGACAAGGACTGGTAAAAATAGCATGTGATAAAGTCCTGTGTTGGACATTCAGAGTGTCATGGGGGCATGGAGTGGGAGCAGCCAGCTCAGCCTGAAGGGCTAGGGGAGGCTTCTCAGGGGAGGTGACGTTTGAGAGGGCCCTGGTTGTTCCCTGGATGGGTAAGACAGGGAAGGGCACTGCAGGGGGAGGAAGAGCATGTGCAGAGGGCTGGAGGCCTTTATTTGGAGGAGTACATCCCTGTCTTTGGTAGATGGGAGGGTTTGCTGCCACCTTGCCTGGGGCCCATCAGGTGGGCAAGGTGCTGGGTCTGACTTCCCTGCAGGGTACAGCTCAGGGCTTTGGGCTGTTTGTCCCGACTCTGCCTAGAGTGCATTCCTTTCTCAGGGCCTGTTGTTTTGTTGATCTTGGGTGGCTGGGAAAGGTGATTTGATGTGGGAAAATGTGGGAGGACCAATCTAGCCAAGGATCCTGCTTCTGTTTCTTCCCAAAGAAGAGAGATGGCAGCTGCAGTTCATCTGTCATGCTATGTTTCACGATAGCATGTTTTTTGACTCACTGATGCTGGAGTTAGCCATCTTATTTTTTGTTGTTGTTTTTTTTTTTGGCTCTATATCTTTTTAAATTTTATTTATTTTTTATTATTTTTTTTATTTTGTTATCTTTTTTTTTTTCCTAGCAAGTTAGGATGTATAGAGTTGGCTATCTTAGAGGAAGCCCAAGGGTGTTTGGTTAGCGAGTGGCCCTGGGTCCTGGTGGGATCTCTCTTCTCCCCTCTGCCCTGTGGTATCTGGGCTGTTCACTCAATAAGACTCTTTGCCAACACATCATTTATTCATTCATCAGGTGTTTTCTGAGCACCTAGTATGTGCCTAGCCCTGTACGGGATATTACCAAGGCAACCAAAGTGGATATAGCCTGGCACCTGTCCTTTGGAGAGAAAGAGACAGTGCTGTGGCAGTTTCAGGCAGGGAGACATCATTCCCTGCTGGGGCAGGGGACAGTGGGGATGCTTCATGGTGGAGTCACTTGAGCCCAAATAGGATGTGAATTTTCCCTCCTGAAGACTAGTCTGTTGTCTCCTAGGAAATGGGCTGGATTCTTATTCAAGCGTGAAGCATTTCTGAGGGAGGATTTTGCCCCCTCCCATTTGTATCCTCCTTTTGGGTGTGTGTCCGACCCTTGAGGATTGTGCCAGGAGGTCCTTATTTTCCAAACGGAGATTTTTTCCCCCTGTGTCCTCCATCTCAGCTAGGAAAAGCAGTGCAAAGTGCAGCCCTTCTGTTGGCAAACAGTTGTGTGGATGCTGCTTCGTGCTCATATCTGTTCTGTTTCTTTTCCTCTCCCCCCACGCCCTGGCTGGCCTGTCCGTGTGCTGTGCCCATAGGTGCTGGACGACCCCAATGAGGACCATCTGTACATGGGTAAGAGAGCCCTTTCCTTCTGCCACCCTTGCTCAGGCTGCAGTGCCTGCCAATGCCCAGGAGAGAGGCAGCCCTTTCCCTTGGCACCTCCCACCAAAGACAGCTCCCCCTTTCTGGGTCCAGCTGGACTCCACAGAAGGCTGCAGCCCTGGTTGGAAGCAGGAGGTGAAAGAGTTCTTGCTAGAACTTTCTTTATCTGGATCGCATATTCATTCATTTGCAAATATTTGTTGACCACATACTGTATGCTGGGTACCATTCTAGGTAGTACATAGAAAACATTAACAAAATCTTTTAGATTTAGTTTAACATTTTATAGGAAAAACTGTAACCAGCACCTTACACTCATGATCTCATGGATATTTATCACCTTGGACAAGGCTAAAAAATGAAAAATTGAGGCTGGGCTCAGTGGCTCATGACTGTAATCCTGGCACTCTGGGAGGCTGAGGCAGAGGATCGATTGAGCTTAGGAGTTCAAGACCAGCCTGAGACAGAGTGAGACCCCGTCTCTACTAAAAATAGAAAAAATTAACCAGGTGTCATGGTGCCTGCCTGTTGTTCCAGCTACTTGGGAGGCGGAGGCAGGAGAATCGCTTGAGCCCAGGAGTTTGAGATTGCAGTGAGCTATTTTGATGCCACTGCACTCTAGCTGGCAACAGAGTGAGACTGTGTCTTTAAAAAAAAAAAAATTTTAAATATAGTCAATTTCAAGAAAAACATTAAATAAATAAATGTTTTCTGTGGTATATAGATATAGCCAAACTATAAACGTGGTAGGCAAATGAGTGAAGTTTGGGGAAATACAGCAGAAATCACAAAATGTAAAAAGTTGTTTTGGCCCAGAATGGCATCCTTAGTATAATTCTCTCACTCAGGGGCTCAGATCCAACTCCAAATGTCTCTAGGCTGTTTCTGAGGAGGTTCTTTGTTCATTCATCAAATAGGACAATTTGTCAGACCCAGCTCTAGGTACATCCAAGATCAAAATTCAAAACTCCCTGCCCTCAGGGCACTCCTGTAAGTACTATGCGTAGGTTTTGAAAGTGACAATACTCTAAAAAGACAAAAACAACCTGAGACCGGCTCAGTGGCTCATGCCTGTAATCCTAGCACTCTGGGAGGCCAAGGTGGGCAGATTGCTTGAGGTCAGGAGTTCAAAACCAGCCTGAGCAAGAGCGAGACCCTGTCTCTCCTATAAATACAAAGAAATTAATTGGCCAACTAATATATATAGAAAAAATTAGCTGGGCACGGTGGCACATGCCTGTAGTCCCAGCTATGTGGGAGGCTGAGGCAGAAGGATTGCTTGAGCCCAGGAGTTTGAGGGGTTGTGTGAGCTAGGCTGACGCCATGGCACTCACTCTAGCCTGGGCAACAAAGTGAGACTCTGTCTCAAAAAAAGAAAATAAAAATAACAACCTGAGCAGGGTAAGAGGAACCAGGACTGGTGTTTTGGAGTGGGGAATTGGGAAATAGAGTGGCTCCTCAGAGAATGTCTCCCTGAGGGGATGTCTGGGCAGGACAGTGGGAACCAGGTGCAGAAGGTTTTTTATACCTTTGTAAGAGTTTGCCTTTGACTCTGAGGGAGGTGGAAGCCATTGGAGGGTTTTGCCTGAGGAGTCGAATGAGCATAAAGAGAACATGGCCCACGCTTCACGGAGGAGTTTCCTAATCTGCTTGCGCCAGGCAGCTTCCTGGACAGATTTTCACTACTTGAGGTGGCAGTTGCAGGCAGGAGTGGTGCTGATGTTGGGTATGTGGTTTTGAAAATCCTGACATGGCCATCTTTTACTTTCCAGCCATCGCTGTGTGAGCCCAAGACAGACAGGGTAGCGCATTTGGTATCAGGAAGGGTCTTGCAACCATAGGCCTGACTGTCCAAGGGTAGAAAACTCCATCTGTCTTCCTAGAGGTTAAAAAATTTCCACCCACTGCTCAGCCCCAACAGAACCGTTGGTGACTGAGAATAGCCCTGTTTCAGCAGGCCAGCTTCTCTCATGCTGACTGATGCATGCCGCTTGCATGGGTGGGAGGAAGGTGCAGAAATTCCCGAAGTTTGCAAGTTAAGACTTAAATAACCAAGGCAGGAAGGCCGTAGCTGAGGGGGCTGGTGTTCTGGTGTCAGTGGAAGTGGTACCTTCGGCTTGGCATTTGTTTCCAACCACAGCCTGAAGCAAGGGCAAATCTGCCCTAACTTGGGTTTGCCCAGGGCTGGTTGATGACCCCGAAGACAGTGAAAGGTCTGGGGGAGTTAAGTTCTTGTTCTTATCAGAACCTTTAAGCCTTGTTTATATCTGAGGAGCTTCCCTTCTCCCCTTGGCCACTCCAGCCCTGGGAGAGCTTGAAACAACCCTTTGGTTTCTATCACATGCTCACCCCATTGTGGGTAGATGACTCCAGAATAACAAACAACTCCAAAGTCATTCTCCACTGGATTTTGAAATCCACTGTGTCAGTTTTTCACTTCCTAAAGTACAGCTTCACATTCCCTAGTTGTGATTGTCCCAGTAGAACAAAATTAAATAGGTATACTCCATGACCCCACATTTTCACTCCTTGGTATTTGTGTACCCCAAAGAATTGAAAACAGATATTCACACAAATACTTGTATTAATACGTGAATTCTTCTAACATGAATGTTCACCACAGCACTATTCACAACAGCCAAAAAGTAGAAACAGGCCAAATGCCCATTAACAGATGAATGGATAAACAAAATGTGGTCTGTCCATACAATGGAATTAAGCCATTAAAAAGAATGAAGCACTGATCCATGCTATAATACGATGAACCACGAAAACATTATGTTAAGTCAGAGAAGCAAGACACAAAAGGCTGAATATTGTACAATTCTATTTATATGAAATGTCCAGAATAGGCAAATCTATAGAGACAGAAAGCAGATTGGTGGTGTCCCAGGGCTGAAGGAGGGAAGAATGGGAAGTGACTGCTAATGGGTACAGGGTTTCCTTTGGGGCAATGAGAATGTTCTAAAACTACGTAGTGGTGGTGGTTGCAAGAGTTTGCTAAGTGCTACTGAATTATACAATTGAAAATGGTTAATTTTATGTTATGTAAATTTCACCTTGATTTGTACAAATGAAAAAGAATAACCCCCAACCAAAAAAACCCTGTGCATTGCCTGAACACAGTTTATGTAATACTTGGTGGTTGGATGGGTAGTTTCCCATAAACACAGGACTGGGAAGAAACTGGTGTGGTGTACAACATTTGTGTGTGAATGTGGATCACAAAGGTTTGGGGACAGGATAAGGTGACCTTTGAGGAGATTCCCACCCCTCCTTGAGTCTTGGTTTAGATGGAGAGTTATGGGAAAGTGTCAGAGGCCCCGCTGGTCAAAAGGGTTGAATAATTGGAACCATGTTATCCAACAACACTTGGTGTGTAGCCTCGCACAGCCTTACAGCTTGGAGAATGCACAAAGGGTTGTTGAAACCTGTTCTTGTGGTTTCTTGGATTGAAACTTTCCTAGTGTTTTGAAGATCCCTATGGCTGCTTCTTTGAATTTTTTTTTTTTTTAAATTTTTGGGCTTCTTTCACTTTTTTTTTAAAGTATACTCAGCATAGGAAACCAACTATACACACTTTTTTGTGTTTTTTAATTTGCTTAATTTAATTATGGGCACATAATATATCTTTATAGGGTACATGTGATGTTTTGATACAGGTACACAATGTGAATTAATCAAATCAGGGTAATTGGGGTGTCCATCACTTCAGGCATTTATCATTTCTTTGTGTTAAGAACATTCCAATTCTACTTTTTTAGTTATTTTAAAGTATACCCTAACTTATTGTTGATTATAGTCATTTTGTTGTGCTTTCAAATATTGTTTATTCACGTTGGTGGTATAGTGGTGAAGCATAGCTGCCTTCCAAATATTGTTTATTCTACCTAATTATCTAACTATAATTTTGCCCCATTAATATGGCTACTTCTTTGGGCCTCAGAAAATTGCCCCCTCAGAAAATTGTGTCCCCTCAAACCCATTCTCTGGCATAAGGTGCCTGAGGACCTAGGTGTGACGAGAGCACGCAGTTTAGCGTTAGGTATATCCCTAGAGTTTCCCGGTACCAGTAGGGAATGAGTAGGGGCCCACGAGCCGGCCATTCCACCTGCTGCCTCCTTCCTCCCCTGCCTTGTTTTCTTTGGCCAGTGGATCCTTGGCCATTTTGAGCACAAGAAGTAAAGCCAGGCTGGGGTCTCCGCTTCTTTGCCTCCTGATGAGAACTTAGCAAAGCAAGACCTTGGTCAGTTTTTGTTCAGTGGACTGTTCCTCTCCCCAGCCCGATGTTAATTGCTGTGCTTCTTGGTGCTTCTGGATGTGGTTGGGGGGTAGGAGGACTGTGAGGGGGCAGGATTCCCTGTTTACCACTGTAACGATTTACCCTTCTCTTCCCTGCAGTGTTTGAACTGGTCAACCAAGGGTGAGTGTCCCACCTCCCAGCCAGTGTGATACCAGAAGATTCTTGAGCTGCATAGCTGCATGAGGTGGCGCCGGGCCGGGCTCCGCTCGTGAGAGAGGGCAAGGGCCGGGTGGGTCTGGTTTGTGTTTTCACATGTGTGTCGACCTTTCAGGCCTGTGATGGAAGTGCCCACGCTCAAACCGCTCTCCGAAGACCAGGCCCGTTTCTACTTCCAGGATCTGATCAAAGGCATCGAGTACTGTAAGCGGGGCCTGCGGGAAGACTGCCCCAGCGGGCCTTAGCATTCCGAGCTGGTGGGTGGGAAATGGAAAGCGTCTTATTTCCTTCCCGGAGCACGAGGAGGTGGGTGGGAAACAGAATTGTGTGAAATGCAGAGTGGGTACAGCTGCAGAGAGCTATCCTGGTGAACAGAAACCCTTCTTCCTACCCTCAGACAAATGAAGAGCAGTGGCAATAGTGACTGTTTATCCACCGAGCCGTTAGAGGGTCTACTTGCCTCGTCTCTTTTTCCTCTCAGCAACTCTGAGATCAGGGTCCAGTTAACCTCCTGAAGCCTTAGTTTCCTCATCTGTAAAATGGGGATAAAGTCTCTCTCACCAGGGCTGAGATCAGCCAGTACACATCAGTGGTTCTGATTAGCAGGTGTCCTTTCTGCCTCTGGTTATTAAACATTTTGGCTTGCCTATCACATAGGCTTGTTATGAAGCTTCACTGGGATAAAGGTAAACTCTTACCCAGGGCTAGGCCCCTGACTGGGTGCTCAACAGAGGGAGCTGCTGGTGCTTTTATTGATATTATATCATCACCCTAGAAAGTGATATTATTATCATCACTGCAGGAGTGTCCTCTGCCATGTCCTGCTGACATTCAGGTGGGGACAGTTAGCAAAGTCCCTAATTCTGCTTTGTGGTTCACACTTCAAATCAACCCACTCTGGTCATTGTTGGTTTGGTAAACACCTTGAGCATTGGCTGTTGGTAAATGTAACTCTGTTTGCCTGTCACCAATCTCAAGGCTTCTAGCTGGGAGCCAGGCTCAACAAAAACTTTCCATGCACTGTCACCTGTGCCTTAATAAATAACAGGAGATTGTGAATTGCTTTTGGCAGTCAGTGTCTCACGCTTCATTTTTGAGAACAGGGTTAGGGAGTTCTTTTGTGAAGACACTCTTTTCCTCTTACTTTCAGAGCATGTGCGTGGGTGCCCTGCAGGTTTGGGGAGGGGAAGGTTAGGCAAGGCCTGGGGCCATGGGAGATGAGGCACAGGAAGGTGCCATGCCTGTGTCTCCAGGCCATGTGGCCACGTGGAGATCCTCATAGGGTTTTCGTCCCTGCTCTCCCCCAGTACACTACCAGAAGATCATCCACCGGGACATCAAACCTTCCAACCTCCTGGTCGGAGAGGACGGGCACATCAAGATCGCGGACTTCGGTGTGAGCAACGAGTTCAAGGGCAGCGACGCCCTCCTCTCTAACACCGTGGGCACGCCTGCCTTCATGGCACCCGAGTCGCTCTCAGAGACCCGCAAGATCTTCTCCGGGAAGGTAGGTTTGGGCCTGCCTGAGCCGCTGGCTTCTGCCTGTATTAAGGTCCTTAGGGTCGAAATGGGCTTAAAATAGTGAGTCCGCTGGGAAAGAGCTGAGGAGTGGGCTGTGTTTGGCTTCAGGCATGGCTAGATCCAGGGACTCAGATAGAAGCCATCTCTTTCCATCTTTCAGTTCTATTTCCCTGAATCGGTTTCCTCCACTGGTGGGTCAGGCACCAACAGCTCCAGGCTACTTGCCGCCATTTGCCAACCCCAGTCCTCCTCCTGCACAGCTCCCGGCAAAAGCCTACGTTGGCTCTAATTGGCCCAGTGGGGGTCATGTGCCCATCCTTGAACCAATCACTATGGCTGGGGCAAGTGGCGCTCTCATTAGCCAAGCCTGGGTCACATGCCCATCCCGGAAGTGCTGGAGCTGCTGTACCCCGAACCGCCTTGGACTGAAAGTCGAGGAGGGGTCATTCCCCCAAGGAATGCTGGAGGGTTGGACAGGCAGAAGCAGTGGCAGCACTGGTCACTGCTCTTTGTTCCCTCACACTAAGCTCTCTTTCCCTTGCAGGCCTTGGATGTTTGGGCCATGGGTGTGACGCTGTACTGCTTTGTCTTTGGCCAGGTAACGGGGTGGGGTGTTCTGTTTCCTGGGTGCTGCTGGGTGGCCCCCTGGTTTAATTGTCACCGTTGCAGGGAGACAGTCCTTATTCATTCAAAAGTTAATTTTATTTCCACAGCTAGATGAGAATGTGAAAAAGGATGGCTTCCTAAAGGTACATATCGGTATCTGAGAATCGCATCTATGAAAAAATGATCTGTTCAAACAGAGGGATTGGCAGAGGTTCTAGAATTTGTCAATAGTGGATGAATGTAGGGCAAAGGCAGCACGTGTGCCATCCCTCCCACTCCTGGGCCCCAGACAGACGTCACTAATCAATAGCTGCACTCTTTCCTCTTGAGCCTGATACCACTTTGATGTTCATTTCACCAGTGTTCTAGAAGCTATTGTCAGAGGGATACAACTGGAATGGAAATTAAAATCTATTTGGTATTATTGATTGAGGGAGAGCTGTTTTATCTTTTTTGTTATTGTTTTGATATTATTGATAGAGGCTTCTCTTTTTCACTCTGAAGTTCAGTTTGATTAATATGAGCAATAAAAGCATGGATTTTTCCCTTTCCTGAGTTTATGCTATTGTTGAGGAAAGTTTCAGAAACTGGTCTGAAGACAGAGGAGCTGGGACTACTGGCATGTGCTATGATGCCTGGGTAGTTTTTCTATTTCAGTAGTGACAGGGGTCTCACTCTTGCTCAGGCTTGTCTTGAACTCCTGAGCTCAAGTGATCGTCCTGCCTCAACTTCCCAGAGTGCTGGGATTACAGGCATGAGCCACCAGGCCTGGGCCTCAACATTTGATTGGAAAATTTTTCAATCATGCAGCACAGTTGAAAGAATTGTACAGTAAACACCTACATACCCACCACCTGGATTCTGCCATTAACATTTTCCTGTACTTACTTTATCACACGTCTATACATCCCTCAATCCACTGATTTTTTTAGTGCATTTCACAGTAAGTTGCCAGCATCTCTACTCTTCCTTCCAAATGCTTTAGAATTCAGTCATTAGCTAGAGATCAGTATTTGTTTCTGGTCCTTTTTTTTTCCTTGGGGGAAATTTACATATAACGCAATGTAAGTGTTTTATTCCTAATGAGTTCTATCAAATGGATACACCTGTGCAAGCCAATCTTCTGTCTCAAGTCACTGTACTTAATGAAATAATTTTCTTTGGACAGGAGTGGACCAGGGAACTTTCTGCCATCTTTTCCAACATTTTCAGCACCCCACATAAAGATTGTTTTTTCTAGCACACATAACCGAACTCCTCTTGGGTCAGGCCCTCTGCTGGGTGAGAACATTGTTGGTCACTTGGGAGGTTGTGCAAAGAATGGGCTTTGGAATCATCCCAGTCTGGACTTAAGTCCCACTTTGCACTTCCTGGGACATGTCACTTCTTTAAACTTCTGTTTTTCTCTTATGTAAAATGTCAATAATCCTCATTATTTTTCGTGGCTTCTGAGAGGATTGACAGAAATAATTCAATTATTCATTAATTCAGCAGATATTTACTGATCCCAGACTTTGTGCCAGGGATGTTCCTAGACACTGGGGAGTCCACAGTGAGCAAGACAGACAAAAACTCCTGCCTTGTTGGAGCTGAGGTGCCAGTGGAGGAGTTAAAAATAAACAAGCACATACATACTGTGGTGTCTGGGACATGTGCTATACGGGAAATAACATGGCAGTGGTGGGGCAAGGGAGGCCCTGTTTTATGGGCCCTGTTTAGGGGGTCAGGGGAGGCCCTCCCTAAGAAGATGAGCTGTGGTCAGACACCTGAGTGATGGGAGAGAGCAAGTCATGCAGAGATTCACAGGAAGAACATTCCTAGCAGAGGGAACAGTGAATGAAGCGGTCACAAAAAACCTCAGTACAGGGCATGGTCCGGGCTGGCAAATCACTGCTGCTGCTACAGCATCTTTTGCATAGTTCTTTTTTTTTTTTTTTTTTTTTTGGACGCAGGTCTCGTTGTGCCAGGCTAGAGTGAGTGCGTGGCATCAGCCTGGCTCACAGCACATCAAACTCCTGGGCTCAGCAATCCTTCTGCTCACCTCCCGAGTAGCTGGGACTACGGCATGCACCACCATGCCTGGCTTATTTTCTATATATTTAGTGGCAATTAATTTCTCTTATTTATAGTAGAGACGGGGTCTCGCTCTTGCTCAGGCTGGTTTCGAACTCCTGACTCGAACAATCGCCCGCCCGTGGCTCCCAGAGTGCTAGGATTACAGGCGTGAGCCACTGCGCGCGGCCCTGCATAGTTCATGGTTGGTGGTATTGTTCACCTGGCAGGTGTGTGCAGGTAAACTGATGCACAGCTCCAGAGGGGAGCTGTGTAGTATGGAAGAGCTCTAGCCTTCTAGCAGGACATTCCTGGTCCTTCTAGAATTTGAGGTGGGGGACTGCTCCTTCCCTGGAATGGGCCGCAGCTGTTGATCTCTGCTATAGCTGGTGTGGAGCGGCACAGCACAGGTGGCCCTGGAAGGGCAGGTGCCATAGCCATTGACCACCACCTGTCCCCGGCCTGTCTCCCTGCAGTGCCCGTTCATGGATGAGCGCATCATGTGTTTGCACAGTAAGATCAAGAGTCAGGCGCTGGAATTTCCAGACCAGTGAGTATCGTCCTTCTGTTCTGCCTCCCTTCCCACTCCAAGTTCTCGGCAGTGCTGCGCATCTGTCTCCACCCCTGACGTGTCTCTCTCCTCCAGGCCCGACGTAGCTGAGGACTTAAAGGACCTGATCACCCGTATGTTGGACAAGAACCCCGAGTCAAGGATCTTGGTGCCAGAAATCAAGGTACTTGCTGCTGGCTCTACTGGGCTGGCCCCTCAGCTCGGCCTGCGTCCCGTGCTGGGAAGTGTTTTGCTCCACGTTGCCTCAGCCAGGCACCACTCCCATGTCCACAGCTCCACACTGTCCTCGGCACTGCTGCTCTCCCGTGACCTGGGGCCTCTGGGCTGCTGGGGGCTGGCAAGGGATGGGGAGGAGGATTTGTGCATCATGGTCATTGTGATTGTGACAATGGGATCTGTGACCAGCCAGACAGACAGCCTGTGCTTGCTCCGATTGGCGTGGGCCGATGTGTCCACCCCTGTGGGCTGAACTGGGGCCCCTGTGCGCTCCATGCTCTGCTGCCAGACCTCAGGTCCTTTCCAAAGGGCCAGTCCCTTTGAGAAAGTGCAGTGAGGGCAGGAGGAAATTAGTGAGCAATTTGACCTCCCAAGCTAGCTGCCCTGCTGCAGAAAGCACTATGAGGAGACCCCTGGACACTCCCATACACCCACTAATGCCACATGCACGCATCTGGCCCTTTTACAAAACCAGACATTTTCCCTGGGGCCTCTTGATTGAGCACCTAGCTAACTGGTATTTGAAGGTGTCTTAAGAGGGGGCTGCTTGAAAAATCACAGATTAGGGCTTGGACCCCAGGGGTAGGGATTGGGGGCAGACCCCTGTCTGGGTCCTCTCGATTGTATCCTTCCAGCTGGTCTCACTGTTCCTCCCCGGGCCTCTGTTTCCCCTTCTGTGAAATGGGGAGACAGCCGCCTGCTCTGAGCTGAGCCTTCAGGCATCCGGGGGAGCTTCTGAGGAGTGATGGGTGCTCCTCAGATAGCCAGGCAGGCAGATGCCAAATTCCAGTCACTTCTGCCAAGACCTGGGGCCAGATGGAGAATTGGTCTTGGATACATCTCAGCCTCATAGCCCCTCCCATTCTCTGTCTCTCCGTCTGCTCCACGATTCCTCCCGTTTCGCCCACCCCTGCCCTCTGCCTGGCTCGCAGCCCTCTTGCATGCCTGAGCACAGCCTCTGCCGCCCGCATGCCCTCCTGGCTCCGCTCGCTGGCAGGGCCTTCCGGGGGCCTCCGCACCTGCCCCTCACCCCTCCTGTCATTCGTTGAAGCTGCACCCCTGGGTCACGAGGCACGGGGCGGAGCCGTTGCCATCGGAGGACGAGAACTGCACCCTGGTCGAGGTGACCGAAGAGGAGGTCGAGAACTCAGTCAAACACATTCCCAGCCTGGCGACCGTGGTAAGGCGGACAGACCGCTGACCGAAAGCAGGGACCCAGAGAGCCTGAGGCAGGGCCCGGCGGGACAGAGCTGGCCACAGGCAGGGGCCACCCGTAACCCATAGCCGCTGGCCTCTGGGCCTTGGTCACACACCAGGCTGGGTGACCCTGCATAATCCAAGCCAGGTCCTATGTTACCATTGGTTGGGAGTGTCCCTCTCCGAGGAGCATGCCCCCTCTTGAACCCTGCTTTAAGAGAATGTCAGGGAAGAGGAACCCGGGGAAGGACCAGGCAGGAGCCAGTGGTGGGACATGGAGCCGAGGTCCCTAAGATGGGGTTCCCACCTGGCTGACCTGCAATTTCCAGGGCAGAAGGCTCAGCGTGTTTCACATTTGCCATGTGGGCGGCTCCAGGGCTGGGGCAGAGGCTCCCACTCACATGCCTCAGAAAGTTCTGCCTGACTCCAGATAGTGTCATTTTGCTTAGGAGCCACTGGGCCTCCTTTTATGGCCTTGAATTTGGGTCCTGACTCAGGAAGAAGGAGCCAGCATGTAGAGTCCTCAGGCCTACCCATGGAGACTCTAGGAATCACCCACTCGCCGAGACCCCATCCAGGAGGGCCTCTGGCTCCAGAGGGAAAGCAGAAGCCCTAGGGTTCAGCAGCAGCCCTGGGACAGACACCAGCTGGCTGTCACACTATGGCCACCTTGACAGCCCTGTTTCCATGTGGCCAGTACCAGCCCCAGCAGGCAAGCATCAGGCTCTGGGATGGACATGTGAGACTGTCTGCAACGACACACTGTCCAGCCTTTAGGGACAGCCCCTTTAGGAGCCTTGCTGCTGGCTCCTTCTCTTCCAGCTTTGCACCTCTCCCTTCTGCCTCCCTACACTTCCTCTCTCCTTGCAAACCCTACTCCCCAAGGCCGGGCCTTTATTGTTTATCTATATCCTCCTCCCTCCCTCCCCCACCTGGGGCCTGTGCACGACCTTCACTGGTAGACTCACTCAAACCCAATCACCTTCCTCATCCTCCTCCTACCTGCTGCACCCATGTCCTGCACCCATAGAAGGGGAGGCAGCTGGTATCAAACTCTTATGCCCACCATGGGTTATTCTGTTCCAGTGGCATTTAAGACATTTACAATATTGGAATGTTCTAGGCCCGAATCAGTCCCCCTCCCTTTGCTCCCCAGGTCTCAGCTGCAGGTTCTTGGAAGAAAGTGACCCTGGAGGTCTGGAGTAGGCATTCATTATTCCAGAAACACTTCTTGAACACAGTGGTTTCTCAGGCCTGTGCTCGGAGCAGAGGGTGGGAGTGCAGCAATGAACAAAAGCCTCACGGCCTCCATCATCCTTGAGAGGCAGATGCTGGTCAAAACACCAACGATACATGAATGTATTCAGTGCAACAGAGGGGCTGCGAGGCACGCCCCTAACAGAGGGACACTTGGCCCAGGCAGTGGGTCGGGAAAGGCTTCCTGGAAGATGTAGCTACACACTGAGAGGATGGCAGGTGTCGCCTGGCTGAGAGAGGGTAGAGGGACGAACACGTGCTGGGCAGGAGGAAACTGGGCCCAAAAGAAGCTTCCAGATAGCACAGCAAGGAAGGTGGGGGGAGGGTGCAGTAAATATTTAAATCTTGACTCCAAGAGCTGAGGGAAGTTCCTGCAGGGTTTAAATCAGGGAGGGGCAGACAGGCTCTAAGAAGCTGTGCAACTCGGAACTGGATTGTGAGGTTCAGGCCCCTTCCATGTGTTCACCATTCAGCAAGCACTCACTGAGCGCCCAGCGTGTGCTAGGACAGGGCACAAAGATGAGTGAGGTCCAGTGCCAGCTCTCAGGGGGTTCCCAACTGCATAAGGAAGATGATCCAAAAAGAATCACTCCCCTGTGTAGTCAGAGGTTAGCACAGAGGGGAATAAGGGCTCTGCTGAGGAGGAGCTCCTGCTGGCCTGAGAAGGCCACGGGGAGGCGCAGAGAGGGCTCCCCAGGAGGAGGATACCAGCCCACAGGAAGAGAGGAAGAGAGGAAGAGAGGGGCTGTCGTGTCCCAGGGACTGAGAGAGCCTCGCCTGGGGGCATGGGCTTCATTCTCCAAGTCTGCGGTTTTCTTTTCTTTTTTTTTTTTTTTGATGAGGTAGAATTCATGTAGCATAAAATCAACCACTTTAAAGCAAAGAATTCAGTGGCATGTAAGACATTCACAATATTGTGCAATTATCACTTCAGTAGTTCTGTAACATTTTTACACCTGGAATCCCAGCATTTTGGAAGGCTAAGGTGGGAGGATTGCTTGAGGCCAGGAGTTCAAGACCAGCCTGGGCAACATAGTGAGACTTAACCTCTAAAAAATAAAAATTAAAAAAAGCTGGGGGCTGGGCGTGGTGGCTCACGCCTGTAATCCTAGCACTCTGGGAGGCTGAGGCAGGTGGATCACTCGAGGTTTGGAGTCAAAACCAGCTTGAGCGAGACCCCGTCTCTACTAAAAAAAGCGAAAGAAACTAATTGACCAACTAAAAATATATATACAAAAAATTAGCTGGGCATGGTGGCGCGTGCCTGTAGTCCCAGCTACTCGGGAGGCTGAGGCAGGAGGATCGCTTGAGCCTAGGAGATTGAGGTTGCTGTGAGCTAGGCTGACAGCATGGCACTCACCCTAGCCTGGGCAACAAAGTGAGACTCTGTCTCAAAAAAAAAAAAAAAAAAGCTGGGTGTAGTGCTGTGCACCTGTAGTCCCAGCTACTTGGGAGGCTAAGGCAGGAGGATTGCTTAATCCCAGGAATTTGAGGTTGCAGTGAGCTATGATCATGCCACTGCACTCCAGCAGGGGTGACAGAGTGAGACCCTGTCTCTTGAAAAAGTTCTGAAACATTATCATCACCTCATTAGAAACCCCCCTGTTCATTAGTGGCAACTCGTAATCTGCTTTTCGTCCCTATGGATTTATTTATTTTGATGAATTGGAAATCATGCACTATGTGGCCTTTTATTCTGGCTTCTCTTACAAGATTTCAAGGTTCATGTTTTCAAGATTCATCCAAGTTGTGACATGCCGATGCTTCATTCCTTTTTATGACTAACTGCACAGTATGAAGATACAACATTTTGTTCATTTCTTCAGTTCATGGACATTTAGGTGTTTTTACCTTTTGGTAAATTAGTGTTTTTTAAACAGTTATTTTTCTTGTTAGCAACAAACCCTAAAAGAAAATCAGCTCATTCCATACCTGAAACAGCTTGAAAGGAGTACCATGCTTTGGCAGAGGGTCGGCTGAGTCCCAGAGCTGGCTCCTTAGGGACCCCTGTGGGTCTGAGGCCATTCCCTTCATGCAACACAGCAGCCAGAATCATCACCAAGGGTGACTGGTTCACTCCCTTGCTCCAGAATTTTCCAGGGCCAGCAGCAGGCTAGGTTCCTGACTCCTTTGGGTGAGGGATTCTGAGTTGGAGTGAGAGAATCAGATCTAGGTTTCAGAAGGGATGGGAGGGAGTAGGGAAAAATACGAAAAGCTGAGCAGTGGCCGAGGGCGGTGGTGCAGGGATGGCTCCTTTTTTCAAAGGACCCTCTCCCCTGGCAGGGGTGTCTCCCAGCCATGCTGTGCACCTGGCCTGTGTCAGAGTAGTCAAGGCAGAGGCACCAGCGAGTTCCTACTCCTGGCTGTGGACGAGGCCAGCCGCCAGCGTCTCTTGGGCTTAGAAGGCCCTCTGGACTCTCTGAGCTCCTCTTCCTCACACCACGCCAGCCTGGGAACTGGCCGTCCTCATTGTCCTGGGGTGTTTCCCCTCCCCCACTAAAGTGCTGTCCCCCTGAGAAACTGGTACCCTCGTATGTTGCTGGTGGGAATGTAAAATGGTGCGGCCACTGTAGAAAATAGAATTAACCACATGATCCAGAAATTCCATTCCTAGTCTGTGCCCAGGAGAAATGAAAACATTTTGTGTGGAATACATGCTCACGCAAACATTAGTACACACATGTTCACAGCACTATTCGCAGTAGCCAAAAACTGGAAACAGTCCCAAGTGTCGGTCAGCAGAGGAATAGAGAAGGAAACATGGTCTGTCCACACAAAGGATTACTACTGGGCCACGAAAAGGAACGAAGCACTGATTCCTGCGACAGTGTGGGCGAACATCGAAAACGTGGTGCTTAGTGAAAGGAGCCAGTCACAAAAGGCCACATTTGTGTGATTCCATTTATAGGAATGTCCAGAATAGGCAAATCTATGCAGACAGAGATAAGTGGGGCTGGGGACAGGGGAAACGAGGAGTAACTGCCAACAGGTATGAGGTTTCTTTTTGGGGTAATGTGAATGTTCTGAAATCAGATAGTGGTGATGTGAATAGACTAAAAACCATTGACTCGTATACTTTTAAATGGTGAATTTATGGTATGTGAATTATATCTTTAAAAATAAAAGGTAGCCCCCAACCCCAGAATTATACCTGGGAAGGAAGAGTTTGTTTCTCATTTTTTTACTGAAAATAAAGGCCTGGCCTTGAAGACAAGACGGGTTGATGGGCCGGGAGGGCACATCCAGCCATGGCTGGGGTGAGGCAGGGTACCAGGTATGCCCCAGGGCTGGTGCAGAACCGCTCTCCTGGAGCGCAGGGCCCCATGGGGGTCGGCTAGGCTGGGACTAGATTATGTCAGGCCTTGAACGTCAGACCTGGGAGTGCAGACCTTGTCTTGCTGGCAGCCAGGGAGCCTGGGGAGGTTTTAGAGCAAGTCGGGCTTGGGGATGGCTCTGGCAGGTGTGTGCTGGGTAGGAGAGATGCGCCCCAAACAGCCTCCCTCAGAGGTCCGCTGTCAGCCATGGGAGCTGGCAGGGGCTGGGGAGAAGGAAGAAGGAGGATGTTGCCTGGAATCTCCCTCACGTGGCCAGTCACCTCCCACCTCTTCTCTCCCTCGTCAGATCCTGGTGAAGACCATGATACGCAAGCGCTCCTTTGGGAACCCATTCGAAGGCAGCCGGCGGGATGAGCGCTCACTGTCAGCGCCTGGAAACCTGCTCACGTGAGTGCCCACCTGCCTTCCTCCTGGGGTGGGGGGCTGGAGGTTGAGCTTGGGGCAGCCCTGCCCAGACCATTCTGTGTGGCCTCCTCCTTAAGTGGTACCACCTGGAAAGGCTCAGCTGAGACCCACGAGGGAAGTGAGCAGCCGCGGGCTGTGGTTTCACCCTGTCCTGGGCTCAGTCTACCTCTTTTTGCTGACAGCTAATCCACACTGAAGTTTTGCCTTTCTTGGGGGGTGGGGGGTGTTGCACTTTAGCTGGGGGCTCTTGGCAGAAAGAAAGCACTTTTGTGGCCCAGAAGTGTGAGTGCCCAATGGTGGGATGGGAGGCCCTGTGAGGGGTAAGCAGTGTGGTCCTGCTCAGACCCTGCATGTCTGTGCAGAGAAGTGTCCACGCACTTGCTTGTCACGACCACCCTGGGCCAGCTCTGTGAGGCTGGTGTTTGGGATCGGTGTTTCTGGGGTGGGGACGGGCATCTCCTGGATCCCAAGTGTCCCTTCTCACTTCCCTTTCCCCCTCCTTCTGGCGATTCCAGCAAAAAACCAACCAGGGAGTGTGAGCCCCTGTCTGAGCCCAAGGTAACGCCTGCCTGCCTGTGCCATAGTCTCTGCCGGGGCCTGAGGGCGGGGGCAGCTGCGGAGCACGGGGGCATTTCCACCCAGGCAACGTCCCTCCCAGCCTGGGCTGCTGTGCCCAGGCTCCCCACCTACCTCCAGACCCAGGGTAGAACGAGGGGCATTGAGAGGCTTGGACCCAGTGGTGGGTCATGCATGTGGGCTGGGGCTGCAGGTGCATGGCGCTCCACCTGCAATGCCTGTGGAGTCACCAGGTTTGAGGGCCCAGCGTGGCACCTGTGCAGACTCAGTGCACGTCACAGGCCCATGGCTGCCCCACCCCGAGTCTGCGTGGTCAGAGCGTAGATCGGGCATGCTGCACTGTGGCTCTTCATGAGGGGCTCTCCAGCCTCTACCCTTCCTTTTCTGGTGTGTTAAGACCTAGAAAATAAGCCCCTTCCCAGCCTGTTGTGAGGGGATGCGAGTCCTCTGACCCGTGTAGGAGCCAGACCTCCTTCCCCCAGGTTGGCTGCCCTGCTTCCAAACACATGAAGGCCAGAGTCTCCCGGGACAGATGAGGACTTTTGTCCCCACAAGACTGGGAGGTCCTGCTTGGCACCTCGATGCCCCTCCTGTTATAATGCACATGGCGGGTGGTGACCCCAGTGGCCTTCCCACTAAGCCTGATGTGGCCGCCTGACTCTCAGCTGGAAGCCCCCAGGCAGCCATTCTATTTCTTTTTTTATTTAATTTTTTAATTATTTTTTGCAACAGGGTTTCCACTCTTCACCTGGGCTCTTAGAGTGCGTGGTGTCGTCATAGCTCACTACATCTTCCAACTCCTGGGCTCAGGTGATCCTCCTGCCTCAGCCTCCCAAAGTGCTGGGATTGGGCTGGGCGGGGTGGCTCACACCTGTAATCCTGGCACTCTGGGAGGCCGAGGCAGGCGGATTGCTCGAGGTCAGGAGTTCGAAACCAGCCTGAGCAAGAGTGAGACCTGAGCAAGAGTGAGACCCCGTCTCTACTATAAATAGAAAGAAATTAATTGGCCAACTAATATGTATAGAAAAAATTAGCTGGGCATGGTGGTACATGCCTGTAGTCCATTGCTTGAGCCCAGGAGTTTGAGGTTGCTGTGAGTGAGGCTGACGCCACGGCACTCACTCTAGCCTGGGCAACAAAGCAAGACTCTGTCTCAAAAAAACAAACAAACAGTAAGAACAAAGTGCTGGGATTACAGGCATGAGCCACCACACCCAGGCTTCTGTTTCTTAAAAATAGCTTTATGGAGGTCTAATTCATTTACCACACAATTCACACATTTAAAGTATATAATGCAGTGGTTTTTAGCATATTCACAGTTGCGCAGCCATCACCTCCATCAACTTTAAAACATTTAATCTGCCCAAGAGGAAACCCTGCACCCCTTAGCTGTGTCTGCCCAACTCTCCCAGCCCCAGCACCCACTAATCTACTTTGAGTTTTCTATGGATCTGCCTATTTCTGGACATTTCATATAAATGGAATCATATAATATGTGGCCTTTTGTGACTGGCTTCTTTCACTCAGCATCGTGTTTTCGAGGCTCATCTACGCTGTAGCATGTATCTGCGCTTCATTCCTTCTTCTGGCCGAATAACATTGTCACATGGATAGACCACACTTTGTTTATCCATTCATCCGTTGATGGATATTGTTTCCACTTTTTGGCTGTCATGAATGAATACTGCTGCTGTGAACGTTTGTGTACAAGTGTTAGGAGCTGGCTTATGAGATGAGATTTGTTGGCCAGCTCTACCATAGGAGTCAGGGGCTTATATGGTAATCTAGGAGGGATGCTTGTTTGGAAATTATTCATACTTTTCAGAGGAACCTTGCCGTCCAGAGTACAGTGGGGAAAATGGCAGTTAGCAATCAGAGCCTTCAGCAGCCTCAGTAGGCTGCCGTGGTCCCTGCCTGGTTCCCAGACGTCTATGCGGCCAGGTGGCCTGTGGCCCCACCCCGGGTGTGAGCCTTATAGGGTAATGGGGAGTGGGAGCCCAGTGGCATGGTGGCCCTGCTTGGCCTTTCTCTTCCTTAGCCTCCGTATTAGAGTCTGCCAGCCTGGAGCTGCCTCCTGTCTCTAAGCAAGTCTGCCGTTTGTTTTCTTTTTAAAGTTTCAATGAGATCAGAATTGCACGTCACCAACAGACAAGAGATTGGCTCAAAGGGCTTTCCTGCCCCTTTACTCTTTCACCTGTAGTCCCAGCAACACCTGGGGATCCCTGCCCCTCAGCACTGAGGAGTGGGTGGGATGCTTTCCTTGTGGAAGCTGATTCAGACATCCGGGGTATTGGACCAGAGGCCCACCCGCTGTCTGCAGTGAGACCCGTACCTTACCAATGCAAAGCCGTGAGAGCGGAGGTTGAGGACCTGCCTTGGCATGTAGTTACAGCCCCCTCCTCCCCAGGGGCCTTTACCTGCCAGTTCTTTGTCAGAAACATAAAAAGGCATCTCAAACAAAGGGGTTTCTTCCTAGGAACTACAGAACGGCACACTTTCTCTGTCCTTGTGTAGGGATAGTCCCCTGCAGGGGACACAGATCAGGTCGTTGTTGGGGAATGACAGACAGTGGCATGCCCAGCAGATTCCCTTAGAAGGGGACATCTGCGTGATTGTGGCCAGGGGATGGACCCCTCCTTAGGGGATCCCCATCACACCTCCTGTCACACCATCCATGCTGTCACAGCAGCAGCTCCAGCTGGGGCCCTTCAGGGACTCAAGGACTCTTCCTCTCTCTTCCCTCTGAGGGTCCCTCCTTGGGCCTGGGTGTGGGGCCTGAGGCAGTGGTCCACAGCCCTTTCCTGAGGGCCAGCTGTGTGCCAGGCCAGGTTGGGAGGCCCTGCCCACTGCTCCCAGGAGCTCATGAGTGTCACAATCTCTCCCTTGCAAGAGCTTACAGCCTAAAAGGTGGGGTGGTTGAGATAGCTACCTGCATAGTCCTTGCGATTTGGGTAGTGATTTAGGTGTTCGATGGGGGAATTTTGCATCTATTTTATAGCTCCTTGCTATGTTTGCCAAATGATGCTGGTCTTCCATGCAAAGGGGGTGGATGCAAAGTCTCCTCTGAAAAAGTTCTGTGAGCAAGAAAAATGGGGAGAGGATCTCAGAGACCAGGTTAAGTAGGTCACACTCCAGGTGGCGCGAGACAGCACACTGGGCAGAGGGGCCCAGGTGTGGGAAAAGCTGACTCAGGGCCCTGCCAGCGCTTCTCTAAGTCTTAACATTGTTTTCTGTCAAGCAGGAAGCAAGGCAGCGAAGACAGCCTTCGTCGGGGCACCGACCCGCCCCCCGTGGGGGAGGAGGAAGTGCTCTCATGAAAGGCAGTGCCCGCATGGAGAGTTGGGGGGCCCCAGCCCCCAGCTCCTCTACATGCATGCATCCTCTGCGGCCCAAGGAGGAGGCGATGGAGCCCGAGTAGCTGCCTGGATTGCTCGACCTCGCATGCACGCCGCCAAGTCGCCTCTGCGGGGCTGCTGCACCCCGCGTTTCCATAGCAGCATGTCCTACGGAAACCGAGCACGTGTGTAGAGCCTTGATCGTCATCTCTGGTTATTTGTTTTTTCCTTTGTTGTTTTAAAGGGGACAAAAAAAAAAAGGACTTGACTCCCTGACTTCGACCTTGGCCGCTGGCTGGCTGAACAGGCGGGTGTGAGGAGTTGCAGACCCAAACCCACGTGCATTTTGGGACAATTGCTTTTTAAAACATTTTTATGCCAAAAATCCTTCATTGTGATTTCAGAACCATGTCAGATATACCAAGTGAGCATGCAGGGGGTTTGAAAATCGTGGAATAATGAGCAGAAAACTCTGGGGCCCGAGGCCAGGGAGTTATTGCTGCATTTGAGGAGTGGAAGGGTAGGTATGACCCCTCATGCAAACCCCAAACCATGGCACCTTCCAGAACCTTGGACTCAAGGAACCAGAGTAGGGCTAGCCCTCAGTAGCTGCAGGAAGCTTCAGTGCAACTTATTTGTAAGAAGGACTTTTTAATTTTTTATGGGTGGAATTGTAGTCAGGAAAATAGAAAGGGCTTGAAGTTTAAGTACTTCTGGAAGGAGATTTTCCAACCCCAGAAGGGCATTCATTAGCTGTGGTGGGAAAAGTTTCTTCTGAAAGACTGAACACATTTCTTTATGACAGCCACTCAAAGCGGGTTTCTGAGCTAGCCGACTGAGCTCTAGTAAATCTCTCTGTTAAATTACAAAATCTTCAGGGTGAAATCCTACACTTCCATGTACATTACATGGCTTAAGATTAAAGAAAAAATATTTTCAGTTCTCTAACTAGACTGAACTCTAGAGTAGTTCAGACTTATTTAGAGCTTCCAGGATATACTTCATGGCTTCAGGCATGTGATCAGAGGTAGAGCTGATGAAACCTATGCCTGTATATATTAGCAGCTTAGCTTGTTTATAACCTGTGTATTCTAGAGACTTGCTAAGGTTTTGTTTTCATTTTAAATACTGATTTTCGTAGTCAGTGAAATACTTACCCAGTTTCTGGAGGGCCGTTTGGGAAATACTTTCATTCGACTGAGATGCAATAGTCATCCTTACTGTCAAAGCTAATGTAGGATCCACACTAACACTGGGGTGCCCTTTTAGAGAAGACTGTTGAAACCCAGAGCACTCAGGGTACAGGGAAACCAGCGCTTGGCACAGGAAGTTCTGCTTTGTAGCCAGAAGTCCAGGAAGAAAGGGTTTATCTTTTTGACTTGCAACTAATGTTTGAAGTTTGGTTGAAGATCAAATGGGACTCCTTCCAGAGTCACGTGTGGGTGAGCGTGAGGTTCAAGGGGGAGGACAACTGGAAGGACTTTGCCTGGGAGATTCTGAGCTCTGCTTTCCGGTGCTCTGGGATGTGGTTTGGGTGAAATGCAGTATCAGTAACTGGGCTCAGAGCACTGCTTTCCTGTAGTTCCCATCGGATCAGCCCTGGTGTGGGGTCTCCTCACAGAGACAGGAGCGAGGCCTTGGGCTCCCTGCCCAGCCCATTCACAGAGTCCTGGGTATTCTTGGCTTCCATAGTTTTTTCTTAAGCTCTTGATTGTAGTTTAGCCAGACTTTTCCTACAGTCGTATAAGCAGTTCAGAATTAGGGAATGCTGGTTTTGAGGAGCAAAGGACACCCGGCCTAGGGAGGGTCCTTTGCAGGGTTGTCTTGCCTGCTTGCTTTCTCTTTGTAACCTAGTACTTCCTTTTGCCCACTTCCTTTAAATGTACGGGGCAGTGACTCCATAGCTCTACCCCTTCTGGTAGCAGAGGGGGTTTGATTAGTTTGCAGTAAGCACCTTGCAATGGTTAAAGCCAGCGGGTCTCTAGTCTTAGGCCTAGCCCACTGGGCCTGGCCCAGTGGCTCGCCAGAGGAGGGTGGCAGCATGTAGAAGCTTCTGCAGAACGACTCTTGTTTACACAGCCGCACCGGGCAATGCCATCTCTCCCCACCATGGAACTTGCCACGTCAGATTTCTCACATGGATCCTGCCAGCGATCAGGCAGCACCCAGCTGTTTGGGGGGGGGGCGGGTGGGTCGAGGGGGGCCCATATTGATAACTTTTTTTTTTTAAACAAACACCAAAGAGAACATGGAAAGGACCCACCCCGCATGGAAAGGATAAGCAGAAAGGCTGTATACACAAAGCATTAGAGCTACCATTCTCTTGGAGCACAAACATTGATTTTTCAAAAGCCAGCTCTGTCAGGAAAGGGGGGAAGCTGTTGTGGGCAGCTCTTCCAGGTGGGCTGAAAGGATGCCCACAGTTTCTTCCACTGCTGCCTCACTTGTGGGACCAATTTGGTGTAAGCGACCTGCGGCCTGCACCTGTGGCCTTGAAGGAAGCACAAATCCTCCATCCACCTTCCGTTTCCTCTGCCCTCTCCCACCTCCCTGTCCATCCCACGGGTTGCCAGTGGCCCTTAGAAAGCCTTATCCAGCCTCTTGTTGGGACTTGGGGCTCCAGAGGCCTCTCCCCACTGGTCTCGCCTTTCCCATGAGGCAGGGCTCCCATCCTCAGAGCCCTCCTGGGACACGGAGGGGAATGCCTGAGCAGGTAGATGCAGGCGTGGCCTGTCACTCACTCATCTTCCCGAGGGGAGCTTCACGCTGCCGAGTGGAAGAACTGTGACTTCCACTGGCTTCCAAGGTGCTAGGGAAGGTTTCAAGGTCGTGGGTTCCCATCTTCTCTCCAGCTGCACGGGCTGAGTTTCGTGGGACTGCTGACTTTTCTATTCTGTGATTTATTTCATGCCCAACGCTTCTGTTTTATTCCTGATCCTTTCTACTATGCATTTTCCTTTTATCAGGTGTACAAAGTTAAATACTGTGTATTTATCACTAAAAAGTACATGAAACTTAAGAGAAAAATAAGCCTTTGGTGTTTTTTCAGATGTTTAAGCTTCTCTGTAAACTTGAAATAAATGAACAGCAAAATGGTGCAAAACCTGGGCCTCGGGGATTTTGTTTGTGGTGTTTATTTAGGCCGCCTGTCCTTATGTCTGTATTCTTTCCTCAGGCTGACAGCAAGGTCAGATGCCCAAGTCAAGGGTAACGTATTCAGCAAATCCCTAATTTGTAGTCTAGTACCTTGATGCTCAGTGTGGTTCCTAGACTAGCAGTGTGTCACCTGGGAGTAGGTTAGAAATGCAGATGCCCAGGCCTGGTTCAAACCTGTTCCCTAGGTGACATGTCTGCGTGTTGAAGTCTGGTCTGGCAAGCAGGTGATTCCAAGATTCTGGTGGAGGCCAGACAGGAGAGCAGTACCAGAGCAGTTCCAGTCACACTGAACACACCTGTGGACCAGGCATGCTAGGTGACACTTTGCCCCATGAAATGTTAGACCCCTTTTATGGTTCATCTCCTGTCCGCTGAGGCTCAGAAAAGTTAAGACAATTGTCCAAGAGCTTCAACTTGTCAGCAAAGCCCCCAAACTTCAGTCTCATGGTTGCTGGTTTTCATGGCATCTGGAGACTTTTAGAACCAATGTTCCTCTGAACCAGAGGCTGAGGGCCCCCTGCATTGCACATGTGCATCTAGCCCAGGGCATTGCTTTTCTGGCTTTGAACCTCATTTTTCTGTTATCAAGGGGCAGAAGATGAAGTCTGAAAGATTCCTGGTCCATTGGTGCAGAAATACAGCATTAAAATCCTGGCCTTGAAGAGTCAAGAGCAGGAGGTTCCTGTTTGAAGATCCCACGGAGACTCTGATGAAAGTGGAAAGAAGTGCATGCAGATGTATGATTTTGCAGAGCTGCGGGGGTCCCCGAGACTCTTGGAAGCCCATCTGTGGATGTGAGGTTGAAAGATTCCTATTTAGACAGCACCAGAGCTAGGGAGTTGGGGCGCAGCCAATGCAGGATGACTCTGGTGAGTAAAATAAGTAGTGTCCCCTCACCCCAGCTGGCCTTTGCATTCCATTTTAGAAAAGAGGAGGCCAAAATGTCCCCCACTCCAGAAGACAGCCAATAACTCTCACTCCTTAACCTGCAGGATATTAATAATAAACAAACCATTTGCCTTAGTCCATTTTGTCCATTCTGCTGTAACAGAATACCCGAGACTGGGTAATTTATAAAGAACAAGTTTATTTCTCACAGTTCTGGGAGTTCAAGATCAAGGTGCCAGCAGGTTGGGTGTCTGGTGAGGGCTGTCCTCTGCTTGCAAGAGGACACCCTGGTGCTGCATCCTCTGGAGGGGAGGAACGCTGTGTCCTCACATGGTGGAGAGAGAAAGGGCAAAATGGGGCTGAACTCCCTCTGCCAGGCCCTTAAGGACACGGGTCCCACCGGGAGGGCAGAGCCCTCAGGACTAATCACCTTCCAATACAGCTGCACTGAGGATTAAGTTTCCAATACATGACTTTTGGGGGACACATTCAGACCATATCACGCCTAAAAATTCTAGCTCCATTTGGTCCATGTGCTCAAGTGAGCATGTTTTTATTTTATTTTTGAGATAGAGTCTGGCTCTGTCACCAGGCTAGAGTGCAGTGGTTATCATCATAGCTCCCTGCAACCTCAAACTCCTGGGCTCAAGTGATCCTCCTGCCTTGGGCTCCCACAGTGCTGGGATTACAGGTGTGAGCCACTGTACCTGACCACAAGCACATTTTTAAAAGGCAGCATGAACCAAAGCTTCATCTTAGGGATTTAGTAAACTTTTTTACAAAAGCAAGAAAAGCCCAATTTGGTCGTTTATCCAGCAGCTGCAGAGCACTTCTAAAATAATCATTCTCCTCAGCACTTGGAAGGAAATTTATGGCAAAGTTGTGGGGGGCGGGGGACAAACTGCTTCCTTTAGGGGGATTCTGAACACCTGGTGCAGAATTAAGTGAGTGTGAAGCTGCCGCTGGAAATAGCTTCCAGAACACTTCACACCTGTGGTGCGCTAGGTATAGGCTGTGCTGCTTCTGGTTTGAGATTTTTAGGAAGCAAATGGGGAGAAAGGACAAGCCACTGGCATGTTACCTAAAACTGTGTGGCCTATAGTGTAGTGCTGTCATTTTATGTGAAAATGTAAGCACAGGTAAGATGTCGCTAGGAAAAAAAAATCATGTAAACTCTATAGGAACATGACATAATGAAGATTAAAATTCTTAGGCTTTTAAAATAAGTGGGGGGAATAATGAGTAAACGCCAGAAACAGATTGTTTCAGGGACCTTTTCTAAGCACAGTGAGCCGGACAATAATCAGATTTATTGGTTGTAGTGAAAGGGTAGGCAGGAAAGTTCTAGCACACGCTGTGAGACAACACAGGCAAGGATTAAGAAAATCATGTTTTAATGTTTGGTCCTCAGTCGCCTAACTACCTCATGACCTCAAGGACAGGGTCCCTGGTTGTGAGGAGAGGGATGGCCGCCCAGGTGTGCTAAAAGTCTCGTGACCACACCAGGTGGCCTTCCCTTCCTCATAAAGTGCTTGAGCAGAGTTGCCCTGGCTGGGAGGGCTGGGCCTGTCCCACAGGGAGCTGCAGACAGGAGCTTCTGAGGACGGCCAGCCCCCGAGGCCCTGGAGCAGGCCCCAGCCCTGGAAGCTACAGCAGTGTCACTGCCACCGGGCCATCACTCACCTTGGTGACCCCAGGCTGCAGGGACAACAGAGTTGACCCAGCCAAGAACAGACTGGTAATCTGCACCGAGTGGACAAACAAACCCAAACATGAAACCCAGGGGCTGCTGAGCAACCCTGAGTACTTGTAGAGAATGAATCAGAGTCTGGAACCTTCTCTGGGGTGATGTGGCAGCTGGTTCTCCCTCCTCCTCACTGTGCTTTGATGGGGCCGTGGGGAGCCAGGTGTGGGGTAGGCATCACTGGTCCGTCACTCACTAGCAAGACCCTGCAAAGAACGGTGAGCAGGTAAGTGCACACCCAGCATGCACTGCCCCCAGGCAAACCCCGAGTCTGTAGTGAGGTGTCGTCCCCGTGGGCTTCTGGACAGTCCTCCTCAGCCGGGGGGCACGCAAGTGGGTCCTAGACATGGGACCCAACCCTTCCTGTCACGCAAGGTCAGTTTAAGTAGTGTGTGGACATAAATTTTGTCATAATGTCCATTACCATAACTAACTTGAGATGTCATTGACTGAAACAAGGCTAGGTTTTAAAAGAGTGAGTCTGTCTGAAGACAAGTGCGAAGTAAGCGCTAGTACGTGGTCTAGAGGCAGAGCGGATGCTGAGAGTGGCGTGGCTGCCACAGGGATGACGTGCCAGAATAGCACCAGCCTCTGTACCAGGCCTGTCTCCCCAGACAGGCCCAGTGCCCAGGGTTCCTTCACCAATGGGACAAGAGACAGGTAAGGTGCTCGGGTGTCCTGCCTGCCAGGAGAACAGGAGGGGCCTACCTGCTCGTAATCTTCCACGTATTTGTATTTCTTCTCCCGATAGTAGTATCTTTTCTTCATGCAGTAGAGGACTATGACATCACATAGCACTGTCGCCTGAATTTAGCACAGAGCGAGAAAGAATGAGCTGGGATGCTTTTAGCTCTGTTACTCTGTGTGTGCCCTTTCTCACACAGCCTGGAATCTTCCACTGGAAAGGAAAGGCTCTGCCATCTCCCAAGGGGCCTGCTCTTGGGAAGGGAAGGTGGAGGAGGGGTGGGGTCGAGAGAAAGCAGCCTACAGGGTCAAGTCTAGACACAGGTCCAGGGTCCAGGACGCCAACGAGGGGCTCCCCTCACTGTGCTGACTGCTGCTGAGGACGCCCCGGCCCAGCCGGGTGAAGGGAAGGGCCTGCACTACTCACCACCCCCAGCAGCGCCAGGCCAGAGCCAATGTTGATCATGGTAGGGATGATGTCAAATTTCCCAGCCTGTGAAGACAGGAGAAAAAGAAAGAAAATTTCTACAGGGGTAGGGAGAGGCCCCTTGTCCCTGCGGGGTGTGAACAAGGGCTGGCAGTGGGAGCCAGCAGCAAGTTACCTTTCCGAACACGATGATGTCGAAGCGGATGCCATATGCCTTGATGAGCGTGCGCTGCTCGTTGCCAGCAAAGTCATTGTAGTACTTGGCAAACCTGGGGGGAACAGGGCGGGTTAGAGGGAAACGGCACAGGATCCTGGGTCCTGGGAGAAGATGTCCCTTGCAGAGCTGGCCCTGGCTTACAGTCTGTTCTACCTGCTGAGCAGACACCAGAGCACCTCAGGGCCTCTGCTGGCTGGTGTGAGCCCACGGGGTTGAGGGACACAGTGAAACCAACCCCTCCAGCATCACTGTCCACTCCCACAAGACAGCTGAAGCCCTACCCTATTGCTCTGTATGTCTTTCCTGATATGGCTGAGCCACCTGCCTCCCTCAAGGGGACCCTGGTCCCTAACAGTGAGCATGTGGCCAGCTAGCACTGCAGGTGGGGGACTAAGCCAACTGAGAGACTCAGAGCACCAGCCCTGAGCTTTTCTTTTTTTAAGAGACAGGGTTTTGCCCTGTCACCCAGGCTGGAGTACAGTGGTGCAATCATAGCTCACCGTAACCTCAAACTCCTGGGCTCTGGTAATCCTCCTGCCTCAGCCATAGTTAGGACCACAGGTGCACACGACCACACCTGGCTAATTTTTAAAAAAGTAGAGACAGGGTCTTGCTATATTGCCCAGGCTGGTCTTGAACTCCTGGCCTCAGGTGATCCTCCTACCTTGGCCTCCCAAAGCACTGGGATTACAGGTGTGAGCCACCTCGCCTGGCCTGTGGTTTTTTTTTTTTTTTTTTTAAACCATCAATGAATGAATGGATAAACAAAATGTGGTCTCTCTGTACAATGGAATATTATTTCGCCATAAAAAGAGATGAAGTACTGATAAATGCTACAACATGGATGAACCTTGAAAACATGATGCTGAGTAAAAAAGGCCACATAGTGTGTGATTCCCTTTATTTATATGAAATACCCAGGAATAGCAAATCCATAGAGACAGAAAGTACACAGGTGGTTGTTAGTGGCTGGGGACAATAGAGGGT